TTGGGAAAAGGTTATTCCTTAAAGGGAAAAAATTTCCTCTTCACCCTACAGATTTGAGGCTCTATCATGAGCCCAAGTAGCATTAAAAAACAAAAATTAAGCTTGGAAGATTTGTTTGAGGTACTTTATTTAGGCAAGCCTACTGCCTGTAAGGACTTGATCAGTTTCTCCAGATATTTGGGACACGAACTGAATTAAGGCTCTTTCACCGCTCTTCAGCTGGAGCAAGGAATACAAGAGGTGCCGGGCCTGTGAGAAACAATGCAGTCAGCAGGACATGAAGGGAAAAGGGCTGTATTTGTGCTCTCTGGAGGACCCTAACCTTCCTCTTTCATCACTTCCCATGCGTTCCTGCCCAGAGCTCAAAATTCAGGAGTCTTGTGCAGCCCAGAAATCTGAGCTTTTGTGCCCAGTGGCTGCTTTTTCCCAGGGGGCTTGCTTCAGTGTGGTCTGTCCTGGCTAAATGGATGTCCTCCTGTTCTGAGCTTTCTCTCCCTGGGAAGGTTAAGGACCAGTGCTTCTCATGATAGTCTGTAAATTTCTCTATCCGTAAGAAGTATGCTCTAAACTCAGCAAATGTCCAAACATTTTGGGGTGGGGAAAAGCGCAAAAAAAAAGTTGTTAAATTAGTCTTATGGATTTGTTTAAAATTGGAAGAATATATACATATATGTGTGTAATGTATGTATGCTAGGTGAGTGTATGTATCTCCACTCATACACATGTGTAAGCTAATAAATAACCACTAGTGAGGGTTTGCAGCTGTATGGAGTGATTAGCAACTTCATCAAAGCTCTGTTTATCCTGCCCTTAGGGTCACTGATAGCTGCTGAGTCTACTAGGGACTCTACTGTGATATCTAAGACTGGCATTCAGGCCTACTTCTGAAGAATTTATCATTTTTAATTTTCTTATGATCCTCAAATCCCTAATTTAGGCAAAACAATTAAAACACAGAATTGGGGGGAAAGATTTGCAAAGTGTGAGGGGTAAATTTAAATTTTCTGATGGAGAGCTCTTTCAGTTGCTATTAGAAGATGTGGGAAAATGTTATCCCTCAAAGAAAAAACATTCCTTTTCCTGCAAAATTTTTGAGTTTACTTTCTTGCATAAGTAAGTGGCAATCAGAACAGAATCTATGCTTTTTGTCTGATACAGGATTGTGTGGGGCCTCTGGCCACCACTCTGTAGACCACTAAGGTGGTGAAGGCATTGGGTAGGGAGTTGGTTTCAATTTGTTCTACCTGCAGCACAACTTCTATAAGCTGCTTGTTTTGGACAAATGCCAGTGCCACCTTGTTTGCTGGTTATATCTTTCTCTGAGAAGCAAAGTTTTGAGGAGCCTGTTCAGATAGTAACTACTTAACAGGTTTTATTGTATATAGATAGAGTAAGTAGTATGAATTATAGCAGAGAGGTAGTAAGTGGTCATCTAATTCATGGACTTCCTCTCTGGTGTTTCCTGCTATAAGCACTGAATAGTGTATTTACATCAATACTAGTAGTCATCTTGATTTATGAGTTTAAAAATATGCTGTCTTTGAATGACATTCATTAGGGCATACTCTTAGAGGTGCTTTTTGCCTAATGATGATGAATTAATGCTGATCCAAGCACTTCTCCAGAGTCCTTTTTCATGTGTGCCCAAGAACTTTCAATTGCAAGACAAATGGCTGGTTCAGAGACAGTGTGTCCAGCAATGAGAGAAGCAAACTGGGCTTTGTGAATACTGTGGGTGGTTTCCAAATATAAGCTGAGTTACACAGTTATTGGGGTTTTGTTGGATTTTTTTGTTTTGTTTTTGTTTTGCTTTTTGATTGGTATAGGGAAAAAAGTGTGTAAGTTCATAAGTATAAAATTAAATCCCACTGAGTTTTACATCTAATTCATTACCCTATTGAAAAAGAATACAAGAAATTGAGAATGGCCCAGAAAATGTTGGACATATTTCTTTGAATTCTGACTTCTTTCTGAACCCCTAATCCATATTTCAGCTCCGTTTGGATGGTCTTCAGGCATCTCAAACTCAACATGTCCGAAAGCAAATTCCTTATCTTCTTTCTCAGCCCCCCACCGGTGCTTGTTCTCGTAGTTTGGGATGTACTTCCCAGCTCCAGTCATCGTGGTACCTCCCACCACTCTTCCTCCTCCCATGTAGCAAATCAGCTGCCTCCTCCTATCAAGTCTTCCTGTCACATGACTGCCTGTGCCACACTCCATGCCAGAGCCTCTGCTTTAATTCATTCCTTTGTAATTTCTCCCAAGCCAATCCTACAATATAAAGTTCCCAATCAGAGTTAGCATACATGGTCCCTCTTGATTCATACCTAACACTAGCCCCAGCCCCACAGCTACTTTCACTCCTCCTCCCACAGCTCTACACCAGCCTTTGAACAGGCCACCCCTGCCTTCTCTGCCAAGCAAGCATTACTTCGCTATTTAAGACTTGGCAGAAATGTTGCCTTATTTGTGGAATGTTTTCTCATTCCACCTATCTACTTAAGTTACTCTCTTCTCTTCTCTGGGTCGTCAAAGCTGTCGTCTGCACCTCTCTTACATAGAATAATTATCTGCTTGTCTTTCTTTCTCTTCTGAGACTATGATTGCATCAAGGACAGGACTGGGCCTTGATCATATATTTCTAGCAATTAGTCAAGTTCCTGGTAGCTAGTAGGAATCCAGATGTTTGTTGAATGAATGAATGAACTTATGCCCTGGGATATGGTAATAACGTGCTCTAAGTAACTGAGGCACTTAGCCACAAACAGCAAATATCTAATAGCACATGGCTTGAGTAGATATTAGGGAATCTCCTTTTACCCCTAAACCTGTGCCCTATTGGGCCGTTGGGTCCTTCTTCTTAGTTCTTTCTTTTCTGTACTCCTCCAGGTGCATTACTGGTCTTCCTTACCTTCATTCTCTGTGGCCCCTTACATGTTTTTATGAACAGATATACTTTTCTTTAGTGTTTCATTTTTATTAACAGCCTTCTATGATTGATGTCAGAATTTTCACTATTACCACCTAAACACTCAGTCTCAACCCATATTTTCCTTTCCCCTCAGGACTGCTGTCAGGACATCATAGTTCTTCCTCTTCTAAATGATGCCAAAGAGGTCTGTTATTATAAGCAACGAAGCCCATTACTCTTTAATAACCTCTTGATCACCACCCCTGCCAGCCTAAATTTGGGGCTGACTGTTCTGTGTTGCCTCTACAGAAGGCAGCTGAAATTCCCAATTATCCCAGCCTGTGTACAGACAAAACATGCAGAAAGCCCCAGCAGTCCACTGGAACAGGTTCTCTCTCCTCTGCTGGCTGTGCTGCAGGGCAGCCAACCAGAGCACTAAGGGTCAGTGGTCAGCTGAAGAGCAGCACTGAGAGCAGCCCCAGGTGTTTAGTCTGGTGTTTAGTTCTTCCAGTTGAGGTCGAGGAGGGAAGCCACGTGTGCCCAAGGAGAGTATGAGCCAAACCGAAGGCAAATCCTCCTGTTAAAATTGAGTGAAATAAATTCATCATGTGATATGATGACAGGTTTTGCTAAATAAGGAGATTTGGGGTTGGGATTCTCCTGAAGTGGAAAATAGTAAAAAATATTAATAGCAAAAAGATAAAAGCCCGCTGTGAAAATCAGCCATAGATTGAGAAGTAGTTGCTCATCAGCATAGAAAAGTATTCACGATATTGTAAGTGAATGGAATCTGCTTTTTTTCCTTCTGCTGCATCATACACTTATTTTGTGTGCTGATTTTAAAAATTATGGCACCAAGTGTTGTTCTTCTGTGGGGATTAATCTATTGCTCTTTAACGTTCTTTGGACACCAGAAGATTTGGAAGAGCTTTGATGTCCTTTTTTATAATAGAGCCTTGGGAATCACGTATGAAAGATTTATGTTGATAGGGTGTTAGAATCTTTGAGAAGCTAATTTTAGGTGTGCCTTCTTAACTAAAAATTTAGAAGTTCAGGTTTAATCATATGATTAATTCAGTGCTTTAATTTCCTTAATCTCATGCTTACTGGATCAGTAACTGTTTAAACAAGATTAAGTCCACAGTTACTTGGCCCCACCCATAATTCCCACTACTAAGAACCCATGCCTTTGTCTATGTAGTTTTGTTCACAACCCTCAACATTTACCAGTCCAGTGGCACCAGGCCTGGAAGCAGCAGAAGTATTAAATTAAGTCAAGATGATAGAGTTAGAACTTCTAGTGGTTTGGGAGCCAGAGGGCGGGGAGCCTTGTGAAAGTGATAACGGAATGTGATCATGAGGAGCTATGGAGGGCGCCATATGGTGGTTGAAATAAGACCGCATGCCATTGCCGCTGGTTGGGTGAGCTTTGGTCTGTCTTGAGGTAGAGGCTATGGTTCCTGTTCCCTGCCAGAGGGCTGGAGGGCTGGCTGCAGTAGGTGCAACAGGGGGAGAAAAAGGAGCCAAGGAGGAAAAATGACCCCCTGAGATTGAGGGGAGGTATGGCACGGCTATTCATTGTCCCAACTTGGAACTTGGACATGATAATGTCTTGAGAGGACTGTGACTGAGTCCTTGAGATAGAGACCAAAAGAGAAAATGATATATGTTTGGCTCTTCCTTGTTCAGCCACTTCTCCCTGGCTTCACTTCTCTGCACCCAACCCTGGCATTACTTTGTATATCTGGATGCCAACACCAGTGTCTATATATCTATAGATCTAGGTATATAGATAGACCAAATCACATATTGAAACAACAGCTAAAGAATGCTTGCAAGTAGATGCCCAGGCCCTTTTCCCAGTCATACTTAGAGAATTTGTTTTAACCTAAAGTTATGGAGACAGACTTGAAGGGAGACATCCCCAACCTTGCTAAAATGTAAGTACGAAAGGCACAAATTGGATGGATATTGATGATGTTGTTTCTATTGTGACATCATCCATAGACTCCTAGTGTCTTTGCTTTGCTTCCCTATAGTGATCACAACATAAATTACTTGTCTTGTTTGACTTCCTTGTTCACCAAAGTTGAGCAGATTGTGGCCGTTTTCAACGCTTCTACCAGACAAAAAGCTTGGGACCATTTCTCGAAAGCCCAGCGCAAGAACATAGACATTTGGCGAAAGCATTCTGAGGTTGGTGATTTTATTATTACTTTTTAACCACCATCACACAGCTGGATTGGCAGAGAGTAGCATGGCTGCAGCCATGATGGTTTCTGTTACAGTGGGCAGTCCGCCTGCCATTGTCTGATCTCACTGTCAGTTCCAAATGCAGCTGAGTATTGTTCCTTGTCCAGAAAAGCAGCTGACTTAACACTTAAGGAACAGAGTGTTTTTCTCCCCTGCAATGGGAGAAAATAACTTTCCCCATTCATAATAAAGATCTCAGAAATCAACCAAGACACTTTCCCTAGCAAATTATTTTAAAGAAAAATGAAACTTACAATAGAAAACTGGCTTTTAAATACAGAGGGGTTTTTTTTAGTGTTCTATGCGATGATGACAGTTTGCTCTTTGGACAAGGATGCCTTTCCGTCCATATTTTCTCATCATAAGGAGCATCTGAGTCCCCTGTGCTAGCCGTTAAGTCCTATTACACTTCTCTCCAGAGCCAGTGTTGTAAGTGTTGGGAGTGAATATCTAGGCCAGCTGGGTCCACCCATCAGCATCCATGCATGTGTGAAGTGTGAGTATCTACCCCCAAGAGAACAGCCGAGAATTTGACCTCCTTGCCACTTAGAAGGACCAAAATGTGTCATTAGTCATTGGTCGTCCAGCTGTTATTTTTAACCCCACAGAGTAGTGTACGCTTTGAACCTGTAATTTAAAAGTAAGTATACTGTCTTTGCTTCTTTTTTTTAATGAAAGAATGTTTTTCATTTGGATGCCGCTCCATCTCTAGCATGTTAATATTAAAGTTCTCTAAATGATATTCCCCTCTTTCAAAATCCCAAACTTACGGAAGGTAAGGTTTATTTATTTAATGATTTTGACTCACACTTGTAAAATAAGTATTTTATATAGAGTTTGAGGAATCACAAAGTACTATGGGATCAATCATTTGGGTAGCATTTTAAGTGCCCATTAACTAATGCTAAATTACAGTTGAATACCAATAGCACTAGATGTAACATCCACATGAATACCAAATGAATTCTTTATTATCACTGTTATTATGGTGAATACTGAATGACTTCACAATAATGTGACGCTTAAAATGCTAGTGCAATTTATTGTTAAGAAGGACATTTTTTATTTTGTTCACTAATGCCTATGGTGGTTGGTGACTGATTCAGTTCTGTTTTTCTGTTCAAGATTATGAGTAAGGAAGAGGTGGGATTTCTCTTTAATTTTTCAGGGACCAGAAAAATGCAGGGTGCTTACCTGATGTTCTCCCTGACTCTGACTTAAGACTCAGGTCAAGGTTGATTTTCAAGATTAAAAAAAAAAGAGTCCTCTGTTTGTGATGCAATATACAAACTGAGGGTTATGAAAACACAAATTGGAGCCCATAAACTCTGATTCAGATTTGGGAATGATCAATCTGTGAATTGTTTATTTCTTCACATAAAAACCAAACGTGATTAAAAGGAATGTTGAGAGAAAGGCCGGTGGCCTGCTACCGAATAAACCTGAGCATAAAAAGGCCATCATTAGAATGTGAGTGTCAGCAAATGTCACATATTGATCCGAATCACGCTTCCTGCCACGTCTGCCTCAGCTTCTCACCTTCGCTTCACCCTGCCTCCTCCGCGCGCGTGTGGTGGGGAGCAGGATGTGTGAAGGCTTCTATGCAGGTCTAAGGAAGCCTGCTTGCTTTGTTCGGTACTAGGAGACAGAAATGATGCTCCAGAGGGACACATGGAGTGCAGCTGTCAAAGGTGCTCCTGCGAAGGGTCTTTGTGCCTTCCTGGTACTTTCCCCACCTCTTTTGATATACATTAGGACCCAGAATTCTAAATTAGCTGTGATTTTTCTCTCGCATGTCGCTTAATTGATTAGATACCAGTTGGTAATTTAACATTGTGGATGATTTCTCAGTTGCGTATAAGCTTGATAATTGGCTTGATTTTTTCCCACATTCCCATGTTACAGCATCTGTTAATTATCTGCAACACCTCTACAGATTTATTAGAGTGTACTAGTGATTTAATGCTGAACCAGAGGCACCCTGTGGAAACAGCCTCAGCATTTTCTCCTCAATTTTTTTTTTCTTTTCCACCACCTTTTCCCACAAGAACAACTACCATATGACAGTTTGTCATTAATCGCAGGGACTAAACAACAGGCCCTTTCAGCCTCATTTATTCTTTCCACCTGACTTTTCCTTGTTTCAAGTGTTTTCAAGCCACCTCTTTGGGAATTGGGCTCTTTGTCAGTAGAAAAATTAGCTGTCCACAGCCTAAAAATTTCCCCACTAATCACATGTGACACCCGCCTCCAATGCCTGATGGTGTTATTTAAGATGGAATTGGCACCTCTTTCTTCTGGGTGGCATAATCAAATAAGGAGGCCTTGTCTGCCATCCCTCTGGCCTCTCAGGGCTGCCTCTGGTTGGTGCCCCTGCACCCCATCTTGGACCTTGTCTCTCTGCTTTCTCCCTTCCCTGTCCTCTGCAAGGGTGATTCCCAGGGTACAGAGCTGACCATTCAAATACTGTTAGCAATAAATAGTTTCCTCTCCATCATGCGGTAGTTAAAATCTGTGAGCTAAGGAGAGAAAAGAATTGAGAGAACCCACAACATGGAGTGATATATGCATGTCCATCAAATGGGCACTGGAACCATGTTTAAAGTCACGCCCCTAATAAATTAGTTGTAATAATTTAGTTTTATTGTTACTCATATGTTTATTGATCATAACGTGAAATTATTTTAACTATTTGATTTTTATTTGGAGACTTTACAGAGGGAAAAAAGAATAATGGAGGCTTTCCCTGTTTTAAGTATTTCTGAAGATAGTAGATGTGAGAGAACAGAATGAGTAAGGAAGGATTCACAAATATGTAATATCCACCTTGATACAAAGTAATAATATAAATACTTAGCCTAAGTGATTACAGTGTTCTGATTTTAGGCACAGTAGTAAGAAATGTACTGTGTGATTCTTTACTCTTTACAATGAGTTTTCACATATGCTACTGCATCCAAACAGCTTGTATTATTATTCCTCACTTGTGAGTGAATAGACAAAGTCTCAAATAAATTAAATAACTTGATTGTAGCCACTCCCCTAATAAGTGGAGAAAGTAAGATGTGATCTTAAGATCTGTGGCTCTAAACATGATGCTAAAGCAACCACTGCAACAAAAACAATAACCCCTACATGACCATGTGCAATACAAAAGAAAAGGCATCTGTTTGTGTTTTGTTCCCTAACATCTTACTGATTTTAAATTTTGGATATCTGAATGGTGTGTGTGTGTGAGACACATCACACATGAGCACATACACACATGCAGGGGCACTATGTTTGCATGAGAAATAATAATGTCCAGCATTATCAACTGACCAACCAAGTGTCTGGCATGATGCTAAGTATTGTACATGCATTAATTCATTTCATCCTCAAAACTATTTTTAATCATAATACTCCAGTGAGCAATTTAGGTTAATAGAGATGAAGAATCTTTCCTAATGTCACACCATAGGCCAATGGCAGAACAGTCCTTTTTTAAAATTCCAGTGTTCATGTTCTTAACCATAATTTCTAAGTCCTTACTGTACATGGGCCAGCCATGTAACAGGTATTTCTGTGTAATCTTTGCAGCCCTCTTAGGTGGATATTATTATCCCCTTTGTACAAATGAGGAAATGGAGACTCAAGAGAGATTAAATTATTTGCTAAAGAGCCCTTAACTAGTCATGGGTGAGCAGGGATTAATCTAAGCCTGACCTTGGTCTACTCTCTACCCCACACCCCTCAGAACCTCCTTTAGGTTAGGTGAGGTTGTATTTGGGAGATAAAAGCCTTGGATTCTGAACGTTAATATGCCAGTCATATATACCCAAAGACCATTGGGGAAAGCCGTACGTGTCTGTGACTCTGACTTGTGTGCATCCTCTACTTGCAGGAGCTCCGGAATGCCCAAAGTGAGCAGCTCATGGGCATCCGCCGCGAAGAAGAAATGGAAATGTCTGACGATGAGAATTGTGACAGCCCTACCAAAAAAATGAGAGTCGATGAATCAGGTAACGCTGATAACTACCACAGAACCATGAGGTATCATGATCTTCCAAATCTCAGATGGGGCATAAGTATTGGGAAATGGCCCTATAACTCACTTTTGTTTGAATTATACTAAACTTTCATCTTTGAGTGACTCTGCTTTTTATTAATAGAACTTTAAACTCCTTCTTGGGAACAGAGTGATTTAAATTGCTCCAGTTGTTTCTCCGTACGCAGATCTGGGGCCATGATGCTTCTTTCAGGGAAGTTTGCCTGTTTCCATAAAAATCCTTTTCCAGAGTACGGCAGCCACAGCTGATGCTAAAATATGGGTAAAACTTGGTTTTAGTCAGTGTACTTCTTACATGGGAATTGTTTAATCCCTGAAGAAGCTTTCTAGCTTCCGAGCCAACATGCTGGGGAATTAGACTTCTTTTCCCATAAATCTTCTGTCACCTAACCTGTAATTAAAAGGCTGGCCCCATTTGGTACCAAGCTAGGGGTGTCACTCCTTGGGTTGTGAAAAGAAGAGAAGCTTAGAGAGAACCTTGCTTTGTGTGCTCTGTCTATTGGGAGTTGCTGATTTAAAACGCTCATTGGTATTGTTTTTACAATACCAATGGATATATATAATTGAATTTACAATGAGTTTTATATATAATTGAATTATGTATAAATCCATTGGTATTATAAAAGCAGGCAAGGGAAAAGCTCATTCAAAACATGAGACACCAAGGGAGACTGCTTGTCTGAGTGGAAGGGCATCGCCAAAGGACCTAGGAAGAACCATAATTGCCATCATTGCCAAAAAGGAAAATTACAGAGATGGTGTAGATTTGATCTGTCTCCTCATCTGTACAAGTGAATAAAACACCTGTTACAGACTTTTTAACAGAAAGATTACAGGTGACCAGGAATCGAGGATCTTTGCTAATTTATTAAGAAGCCAAAATCAAGATTCTGAAAGGATCAGGTCACCAAGACCGCAGGGTGGTCAGGATGCTCTGTTTCTCCAGGGCTGTAGAAGAGAATGTCAGGGGTGCGAGTGATGATCATAAGAAAAAGCTCCTGCATACAGGCATATAGAGAAAGGGCTTTAATTTCCTTGAAGTAGTGGTTCTCAAAGGTGTGGTTCTCAGTCCAGTAGCACCAGCATCATCTAGGAACTTATTAGAAATGTAAATTAGCAGGCACCACCCAAGACCTACTGAATCAAAAATGTCTAGTGGCTACGGGGGTGTTGGGAAGTGAAATCCATCGATCAATCTGATTTAAGCCCTATAGGAAATTCTGATGCGTGCCAAAGTTTGAGAACCACTGCCTTAGAAACTTCCCCTTTCACCCTCAAATTCCATTCATTTTAATCTTTCAGAAGCTTAACATACAAGTAGGCACCATGCCACTATTTTCTGAAGCCATATATCCCTTGTCTGAAAAAAACCCAGCACTTATGTGTCAATGACATATGTCTCCTACTAAACCCAGAGCAGATTCCTCAGGACTGCTTTACTCTCAGGTTTGTTTATTTGAGGAGACCACCTTCCTCACAAGATTTCTATTCTACAAACCTTCACATAGCAAAACAAGAGAGCAAGGATTTGTGTGAATTTCTTAAGTTCAACAAGATCTTCAAATAAAGAAATAAATTCTTTCTATCAAAAGCACTTTTCATCCTTTGTGAAGCTTCTGGATGAGGGGCAAGTTGAGATGAAACTTGGATTCTTAATATCCTGACAAGGTAGGTGTAGGAGAAAAGAATTGCGTCAGTCAGAAATTCTCATTTGAACCTGTGACTTTTTTGTTTGTTTGTTTTGGTGATGTTTCTTTTCAAATAACTTGTCAATTTCCCAAGTAAGAATTGTGGATCATTTCACAGTCTGCTTAGGATAGGACCAGAATAATGAACTGTATGCTCCCTGAGGAGGTCTTGCAACACATACATGCCTGTTTGGATCAGGGCCCGGCCTCCGCTGCAGAAGCATCAGTGGAGATGTGATCCCCTGACACCTCTCTCGGTGTATTCCCCAGGCATCTGATGAGAGCGTGAAGTGGAGCCTGAACTTTTAAAAAACTTTCACCAGTCTTGTTACTTGGTCAGCAGAATTAATGAGCAAAGTGCAGGGCATGTTGTATACCAGGTTCTGAGGGAAGAGATGAAAGAACCGGAGTTCAAATGCCAGGCCCCGAGGAGTTCAAAGTCTTTTCGTAGTTTTCAAAATGAGATGGACCAGAGAATGTGGCATGTGGTTTCTGAAGAAAGCCCAGGACTGATTAAAGGGAAAGGAAGGCAACTAACCTTTTTTATTCCACGGGGCCCTGAAGATCTGGCCCAGAGGCAGGCAGTTGTTTTGCTTTCAGCCCTGCATATTTGAGGACACAGCCTGACAGCAAGAATTCCCATCTGGTCTTTTGTTCAAACCTCAGACAAATCCCTGCTAACTGTTGCTTGAAGAGGGGAGGATGGAGGCCGTTGCCCGAGGGAAACACCTTCCAGCGCTATCTTCTGAGGTGACACATCACTTGTTTTTAGGTACACATTTGCATCTGCCAGTCACCTACACAGGAGCAGTCCTCTCAAAATGTAGCACTCTAATTCACTAACAGGGGAATTGCCAGTCCCGAAGTGGCAGTGAAACCCTCCATCCTTTAAGGAGTCCCCTGCCTATTTCCTCTCTGCTCAAACAGTGGGTTTTTGGCCTCAGACCTCCTGGGTAGTAGCTGACCCAGGAATTCTTGGAAATTCCAGAAGAGAATATCCTTCCGTTGTCACCTGCCTGTGCCAGGAGGAGGTGCTGAGGCTGCACCCACTGCAGGGTGCTCTGTCTCTGGTCCCCCAGGGCCAGCTTTGCTTGTCGTCTCCATACTAAGACAAAAAGTACCCTGTAATGGGTTTTATCTGGGGGGACAGGGAGGAGGTGGAAAGAATTGACTTGCTTGGTTTTTAGAAAAGTCGCAATTTATTGTGTAAGGACTTATATGATACCTTGGGTTTACTTTTTAAAAAATAATCAGAATGTTTCAATATATCTCTGCTTTTTGGTTATGAAGAATATTTCATTGTACTTTTGCTTTTTACCATATATAATAATTTGCAATATATCTTTGGCTATAATTCTCCAGTACCTACAATAGAATTCTGAGGGGGTGGAGTGTTCACTCTTCTTCATCAGTTGAATCTTAAAGGGGAAAAGGAGTTCACTGGAGCAAAACTAAGATGCTTATAAAAATGAAAATGAATTTTGCTAATAAATTTTAAAATGATGACAGATTTATTGAAGCATTCATTCAAGAAGATCGGCATCCTGCTCTGAAGCCTGTGAAGATAATTTTTGACAAAAATTCAAATTTATTGTTGTTTAGTCTGCCTCCTACTGAAATGAAGCCAGACTTTAAAATCCAAATCCGTTCTTCCTTTTTCTCTTTCTGTCTCTCTCTCTTCCTCCCTCCCTCTCTTTCCCTCTCTCCTTCTCCCTTCCCCTTTTCCACTCCCTTCCTCCCTGTCTCCCTCCAGGTTGACTCTGTGGGGCAGGATAGTGTTCACAAGAAATAAAAAGGAGAAAGGAAAGAGGAAGGCTATCCTAGATTGTAAGGCCTCCGATGGCAAAACCCGATACATTTTAGCATTGTGAGAGTTAATGAGTCAATGCATGTAAGGTACTTCTGACTTCACTTACAGTGTTGATCATCTAGTAAGTACTCAGTAAATGTTAACTCTGCTTGTTACCTTAGTCATCCTCCAACACCTGGCACTGGGCCCTTCCCCAAGTACGTAATCAATAAAAGTCTATGGACTTCAATTCACATTCCCCTTCTGATCTTAATGTTTTTGATGCCTTTATCCCAGAAGTTGATAGGAAGATGATAACCCTGAGAATATTTGCTCTAATTAAATTGAAATGGCAAGTATTAAAGAGGCATGTTCAAACAAAATGTTCAGAACTTTATACGTACACAATTCAGTGTCACATGGCAAACAGGCCATGGCCCAGAGAGCTGTAACCTGGCATTGTTTTGACTGTCTACATTTTGTATGCTCAGGATGCTGTGGACCCAGGGGACACAGAGTTAGTTAGATACAGGGTACCCTGTCCTCAGGGTGTAAGACTCATTTATAAAAAGTGTTTTAAGTTAAAAATATTAGGGATGTCCTAAAGCCAATAAATTAAATTTATTATAAACCAAAATGAACATCACTACATAGTGTGTATACCTCACCCAATATTTGATGAGAGTACTTTGAACACAAATTTTGGAAGAGTGAAACTAAAAAGTCCCTTGCTCAGTAGACAAATCATAATTCCTTTCCATAATACACAAACAAATGTTTTTGGATTTTAACTGCATTTCATTTAAACTCTGAGCTCTTTATAGGAGCAGACACTCTTAATTATGAAGTTTTCTGAGTTGTCAATTTTTCATGAAAATTCACCGTAACATAGGTACAAAGGAATTTTGTTTTAATTTCACTAAGAATTCAAACAAGGACTTTCCAAATCTTTCAGCCACTAAATCAAATTAGGAACTCATAATTAGGTTTGGTTGGAACTAGCAGTATCGGCTTACCTGAATAGTTATATATGTAGCTGGAAGCTTTATGTTAAAAAAATAAGTAATAATAATAATAATAATAGGACTCTCTGACCATCCCATTGATTTCTTTGAATAGCAGGACAACCTATTTTTTCTGATTAAGTATTTTCTGTGTGATAGTGCTTCTGAAAGATCCTTAAAAATGCCCATCAGGCAGATTATAATCAGGCACAAGCTTAAGAAGAGTCTCACTGCTACCCCATCACCAGCCATGCACAGAAGAAGGAGAGGGTTACTAAATACCAGACCAGGGTGCAGCAGCTGACTGAAGGGGCCCACTGCAGGGGGCTCCATCCTTCACACTGGTAGAAACTTCCTTTTAGGAAGCACTGAATGTAACCGAAAGCAGGCTCACCCAAGACTGGCTCAGAACTTGGCAGAAGGACAAGAGAATTCAGACACTGAAGTGAGATGGCTCAGTCTGAGGCCACAT